TATTGGACGCACAGTTTAAATGACGCCACTTCCGGTCCCGCGTGACATCACATCGCTCCAATGCCAGCGTTCATTTTCGCCGATTCCTTGTGAAATTAGAATCTCGCATGGCTATTCTAAACCGTGGAATCGTCTATCGTGTCTTTTCTCCAGCGAAGATAGAGAAAGACGGTTCGAGTAGCTTAGCTAGGATAATCCTCGGGTAATCGCGATGCTTGCGTCAAATGAAATGATGCACCTGCAACGACACCGACGTATGCGGTTGTCGATGCGCGCTTGTCGTAAGAAGAATTCGTACGGTTCACTTCTTTCCCTGGCTACGTTTATTTGATGCATTCGACGATTAGAGGAAAGTTTTTCCTTCCCTTTCCCCTGTTGATTCACGGGATATACCTTTAAACGAGTAGAATTCGCGATTCACGGTAAAGTAGTTTATCAGAAACGGCTGGAAATATACGTAACCAGTAACACCCACAGCGTGACGCTCGTTTCCCGTATTTGTTCAGCAAGTTTTCTGCGAACGCGTATCCTTGCGCAGCATCTGCATCCAATAACGACCAACGCACGTTACGATACGTTACGGATAATTCAAATTGAAGTAGACATTATGCGGGATTCAGGTCTCCATCGAAATTCGATAATCCCTAGCGGTCGGATTCTCTTTTACACGATTCCTTTAAAGAGCAAGGCTATCGACGTGGGTGCGCTGATGTAAGGCGCTCATTCAAAAAATCTCGATTATCGAAGAACGAAAAAATCGTTGAATGATTTTAATTTTATAAGCATCTCTTTCGGCCCGTGCTTGAAATCGAAGCGCCATTGCTTTTCAAATTTCCGACACTCGTAGATCCCTTTAATACCGGCCTGGGATATGGTCGATGTTCATTTTAACAGTCTTGCGATCACCGCCTGATGTCGCTGTTGGATCAAGCGGAAACGATCGATCGATTCGGAGTCGCGATTATTTAAATTTGAAAATGTATATTTTTATTCGAAAGTTAAATGGGTCCGTTATTTAGTTGAAGTACTATTTAATCACCACTTGCAAAATTCACAAACTTTCTAAGATAATAGAAGGGTTAAATTTGTGCCCCGTTAATGTTTACAGTAATTAAGCACCACCAGATATGCTTAACAATAATCCCAACAATACTGTTAAGTATTTAATGGCGCATGTCACAGTTGTTCAGAGCTGGTTCATAATACCACGGTGAGTCACTTGAACCAGTGTTCTCGTTTCACTAGAGCACGTTGGAATCTCGAGCTTATCGAGTGGTACGATTCTTTGTTCAAGTACCACGTAGCCGTATAGCAACGCGTCTGATAGATGGAATTTTTCGGTCTACGTCATAATCTCGTGAGAACGTAGGATTTTACTGAAATTACAGAGTCGAATCGCGAAAGACGATTTGCAAGCTTTTTGCTCCCATAGGTCACACTGTTGTACCGTAAACCTTCACCTACGAGACGTTGATTGATAAATGTGTTAGAAATCCGTGGAAAGAAGCTGAAGATCGTTCAGAATCCTAGCTGCACATCTAGGAAAAAGCTTTTTGCTCCCGGTGCCGTTACTCGCGGAAGCGCGAACCCATGATATACCTCTCTTACGCGGTTGTCACAGTTTCCACGAAACGATTCTTAAAGACGGATTGTGTGAAAATGAAAATTGAACCGTTCGTGTGGCATACCTTGTCCAGCTAACGATTCAAACGATCGCGAAACGACGCTGATGGTACATCAATTTGAAAGCTTAAGGTTTATGGAAAACGATGCGTACCTGGACTGGCCGTTTTGTCCGTTTTACGTGGTAACGGGGTCTAGGCTACCCGAACGACCACCGGTTCACGGCGGATCGGAATTAATGGCTGTAGGATAAAAGCGTAGGACAAGAGAGAACGCTCGTTCGGTAAACGTTATTGCGGGCACGATTGCAAATTACACGTCCACCGTCAGACCGGCCTAGTATTCGCGCATATTCATTAATTATCGAAGGATCGCGCGAACGACGCATTCGAACTCTTCCAGTGTCACCCTTGAATCTCTAAAGTACAAGGGTCGTGAATGATTTATTTGGCCAAGATAGATCTTCACATAAAACCTTTTTACGAGTGGTATGTCACTACCTATTCGCGATTACGTTATATCGTTCGCTTCTATTTCCGGATTAATCTCATTTTTACGCGCCTCGGTGCAGAAACAGCCTGGAACACGATTTTACGCGTCGATCGACGTCTGTCGGTGAAAAATCCAGAAGGCGAACGAGTCGTTGGAAAAACTGTTGCATAAGTTGTCTGATAGAAGTATACGTATTGCTTTCCCTTCATAAACATCGTCTCTCCACCGATGCGAAGAAGAGCGACGAAGATTTTTCTCGGTAGATCGGGTCGATCGGGAGTAGCTCTCTCCGTGACACAGATAATCGAAGAGCAAACCGTCGCGTCGCGTCGATTCGACGGATATCCTCGACTCGGTCTCACCATTTCGGGCGAAAAGGTCGATAGGCGCGTAAGGCCCCGTTCACCGCACTGTTACACCTTTCTGTACGTACACAAACACGTAAGTGTGCACGGAGATGGCGGGGGCGTTGTGACAGGACCTTGTCGCGGCCCACACACAGGGCTGTAGCTTGGAGATTCCACGAAAAACTCCTTGTCCCGTGGCGTTCGTTCCTTCGAAAGAACTCTGTTACGTAGCACCTATGAACAGCGTTAAAATTCTTCTTTTTCCATAACGAGACCGTCAATTAACGCGTTTTCACTCGGCCAATCGACGCGTTAACAAGCTGGCTGCCACGGTAGAAACACGCTTAGTACCGTGCCTGATAATATAGATTACGAGGAATCTGTTATTTCGAATTACCAGCGTGTTCTGCTAAGTTTTACGTACGTTCCTGCTTGCGTGTCGGCAGATCCGTCGAGGATATTTCATTATCGCGACGTTCGACCGACTTTTTCAAAGGATCCTCGTAGGAGGAAGCGAGAGTTTCCGTCGACCATCGAAGAGGATGCATTAAAACTACGGCCTTGATTTCACGTTTATGCGTATGTATATAAAGGAAGATCGTGAAATCGATCGTGAACAGCCTTTAGCCTACATAACCGATACGTTTCTTTCTCTTACTCTCTCCTTCTCTTGCTCTGTTTTCAATGCAGCTCGCACTTTTACTTCGATTGCCCGATGTGAAACGAAATTGTTTGCTGATTCGAGGAAACTAACGCTGTTTCTAACTATCGATGCGCTATAAATCGTGATCACTGGTAAATCGTAACCGTTGTAAAGTAATCGGCGAATGATACAGCACCGTTTTCTTCTCCCGAAGCGTAACGACACCGTTACCACCCTCGTTTAACTCGAATTATCTTGTCTCATTAAACAAGGATCGACCGGTTACAACGAACCACCGCTTCCGTCGATTTTATGGCGCAAGTGAACCGCAAATGTTTTCATTTTCGTGACAGCACTCTGTTTGTTCAACCTTGCAAAGCACCGGCTTTTAGTTACTTTCTTCTTCTTCGTTTCGCACCGTGAATCATCGGTAAGGTTCATTTCCTTGGGCCTGACCAGCTGACGAAAGTACCTTGAAGAGATTTTCGAGGAAGACACGAGTGTCGTTCTATATTGTTTTCTTGGACCACCTTGTGCCTTCTTTTTCGAGTTACTCGATGAGTCAAACCCGTCTACGTGTAATTCGCCTCGTCAGTTTCCTTGTTTTTAGGAAATTTTGGAAGGAGGAGATCTATTCGTTGAAACATTCCAACGACATTTCTCCAGGGTTCCATCGAACATAAACGAGATAAAAGCATCGTAGTCAAAGGGGGATTAGCTCTTCTTTCTTCTCTTATCTATCACCCCATTATCAGCCTGAACTTCCCGAAGACGAATCAAATTAGGATAACGTTTCTCTGATCTTGGTGTTCCTGACTCGTTAAACATCCGCTAAAACCTCATTAACTTGCAAAGCACAGTCGTTAGAAAGGCGAAATAACGAGTGGAACTATCACGAGCAGTGGTTCAACGTAGAAAATGATCCGATTCGAAGCGTCGATCGTTCGGAAGAAACGACTATAATTAGACAAGAGTCTAGAAGACCGGACAAGAATCGAACTAGCTCGAACGTCCAATAAAGGATAATCGAGACGGGCTACATTGTGTAGTTTCCAGCATCGTTTCACTATAATTTCTTGCTTCCGATTGCGGCGAACAGCAATTACGTAACTACATCGTCATCTTGTGCCAGTGGAACTGCTCTTATGTTCCCTTGAAAGATGCCAACAGAGAGGAAAAAAAAATATACCTATAAACCGAACATTCATTTATACGCGTAAATGCTCCAGTATTGCATAATTTATTGAAAAGGCAGTAATGTTTTTAATCACTTCCGCGTGTGGTTAATGTTAATTTAAGAAAGTGATATTTGCAAAAGAAGGATCGTAAAATGGCAAGGAGGGTATATTTAAAGGGAAGTATATACACTTAGGACCGTGTATCGCCGACTTCACGGAAGAATTCCTGAGGATCGATTAGAAACTAAGGGGAAAATTGTAACTCGGTGTAATAGTAGGGAGTTAACTCGGGAGTTAGATATCTTCGAAAGGACTCGCGGGTTTACCAAAATCGAAACGTAATCTCACAACCCTCACCCTCGTGTATCGAATAGTCGGAAAATCTCGGTGAACTCGGTCGAACTCGAGGGAACTCGAGGGAACTCGAGTGGAGCTCACGTGGACGTGTGGCGGCGGATGAAGAGAAGGACGCTGAGGAGCCGGATTAACGGGAGAATCGAGTGGTCCGCCTCACCTCGGGGAGGACCAAGAGGACGGAGGACAGCGAAGAAGAAGGCGGCGGTGTGTAAAGTAGCGGAGTAAAAGGGGCGAGGAGGGAGGTGGTAGGAAGGTGGTTGCTGAGGAAGGGAGTGGAAGAAAGAGGAGGAAAAGGGGGAGGGGAGAAACACGCTCTCCTCCGGTGCACACTCTCGTGGTGACTCGAACCGGCAAAGTGCTCGCGTTCGTGAAAGTCCACAGACGACTTTCAGGGTCGTCTGCTCCGCTCGTTCGGCCGAAGCCGGCTTCGTCTCGCGAAAAAGGAGCCACCAAAAGGGATATCCGAAGTACTCACTCGTCCGCTCGAAGGTGGCCAAAGAACCTCGAGGAGAAACTGCCACGACGGATCGAACCGTCTCCGTCTCTCCTTCGATCACCTTAGTTACACCACGTTATCGTCGAATCGATGAGATCGAGCCGCGACGCGTGTCTTCCTTTCTGTTGGTCTCGTTTTCCAGCTGGAACGTCGAAACGCGTCGTCGAGTTCCTTGACACCGCGAGCAATGTCGCTCGGTTCTTGAATCCAGCACTCGACACCGAGGCAGCTTCGTCGATACGCGATCGAATAACTGTGACTTCCGTCGCTTCTCTCGATTCTGTCTCGATCTCGAACGAGAAGTTACGCGCGTGACAAACTGGAATCGCGGACAGACCGATCGATCCGACCGACAAGCTGAAAAACAAGAAAGTTGAAAAGTGGACGGTGAAGGAAAGAGTGTCTGGAAGAAGAAGATGTCTCGTCTTCGTGGTTCTGGATCGTCGACGACGAAGGAAGGTACGAAGATCAACTCGTACCACAAGGATCATTTTCGCGACGAGCAAGAGGACGAAGCGGTAAAATCTTGTAAAAACGGGACGAATCGTTATCACTTTGGCATGCAGCAAAGGGACGAGGAGAGAAACGCTCGCAACCACAGGGAACACTCGAACGAAGATCCAGACTTGCTGTACAAAAAGAGCAAGCAACACTTCGGCGCCTGGGACATCAAGGACATCGTCCAGGACGAGAGTCAGAGATCGAGGAAGCTGAACGACAGACCGGAGGAATCTCGATTAACGAACGGTCGTTCGAAGAACCACTTCTCCAAGCTGGATCGTTACGAGGATGAAGTTGTGTCGCGAGACGATCGTGCCAGAACAGGATCCATCGATCGTGATCAGACTGGATCGTACCGATCGAGGAAGAAGGACGGTTGGGATCATTCAGACTCGAAAACTCCCAAGTATTCTCGATCGAGGAACGACGTTAAACTCGATTCCCAGCGAAACGACGAGAGAGATTTGCTTTTGAAAGAGATCGAGAGTTTGACTGTGGACGGAAGATCGCCGGATCGAAGGATCCGAGCGATGATCGAACGATTCAAGTGTCGCGAAGAGGACAAATTGAAATCGAGGATGGATCACGATTCTCTCAGTCCAGACAGAGAAGATTATCGACCGAAAACTGGTATCCGGGACGAGGATCGTAACAAAATTAGAATCCAGAAGGAGGATCGAGAGGACGATCGAAGATCCACCAGATCCAAGGCTCGAGAAACAGAGAAATTCGATCGCGAAGAGAACAGGAGTCGTTCCATCGATCGAAGAACAGAGAAATTCAACGATAACCCTAAATTATTCTCTGATAATTTAGAGAAAAATCATCAGAGACGATCCAAAGAACCCGAGGAGGATCATCCTCGAGTCAGAGACAGTCCAAAACGAAGAAGCTACGTCTACGATGGAAACCCGGAAGACTTCGATGTGCGAATACAACGATACGAAAGAGCCGTAGTAGAACCCAGAAGAGAACTCGAATCCTCCAGAAGAGTTTCGTTAAAAGATTCCGAAGGTGAGTTAGGACGAAAGGAGTCGTTCAAGGATCACGATCGACAGGTGTCTAGGAAGAGTTCCTTCAAGTCTAACGATTCGAAAAAGAGCCACTCCAGAGACAGAGAATCGAATTCGACTAGAAAAACATCGTTCAAGGATCAAGAAAACGATCTGTACAGAAAGAACTCGTTCAAGGCTCAGGATAACGAGAGGAAGTATTTGGAGAAAAATCCCGAACACGTTTCGAGGAAGAGTTCGTTCAAAGATCAGCTCCAGGATACGGGAAGGAAGAATTCGTCGAAGGATTCGGATTACGGTAGGATCTCCTCGAAGAACCGAATCGACGAGGATGAAAGGAAACGATCGTTTAAAGGACACGCGGACGGTGTTAGTAGGATCACCTTCAAAGAACACGACGCTGAATCGGCCAGATACCAGCCGTGCAAGGAGCAGGATTCGGACATCGGCAGAGTAAGTTTCAAGGATCGTTCGAACGAGTTGTCTCGTAAGAACTCGTTGAAAGAGAAAACCGTCGAGTTTGCTGGAATCTCTTACAAGGATCACGAGGACGACGAGGACGGGGAGTCGAGCAAAGTGTCCTTTCGAAGACATTCACCGAATGGAAGATACGTCGAATTCGGTACGGTGTCTTATCAAAATCACGAGGACGAGTCGCCGGCCGGCAACGAGCGAGATTGCGATCTCGAGAGAGATCCAGAGACGTCGAAAAGACGTTGCTCCCCGAGGAGCAAGAGCCACGAGATGCTGGAGAAAAGACCGGGCAGACATAGCAGACCGTTGACGCCACCGAAACGAGACGATTCGAAGGATCGAGAGGAATTTAATTCCAAGTGTTGGCACGAGAGTAATCGTATCTTCGCGAGCAAGTATCTTCGAGAGAACAGCAAGTATCGGGCGAATCCTGATGGTCGTTCGGAGATCGAGCGAGATCCTTCGCCGGAAGTGTACGAAGAGGATGCTGAAAGGCGAGAACAACGATGCACGAAATTGGAACCGTACAATTTCGGTGGCGAGGATCGTCCTCGTGATGTGGACACGCGAAACGGTGCGACGATCATCAGGATTCGATCGAGTCCTGACACCACCGTCGAGAGGAGACGTCGACGTCGTCCTGTGCAGGACTCGTACGCTGGACGACGAAGACGTTACGAGATGGAGGAGGAGGAAGACACCGACGAAGAGGAGGAGGATAGGCAGAGATCGACACGAGCGGATGATTCGACGATGGCGAGAGGTGTTTCTACACCCTCGAGGAGGGTCTGGAATTATCGCGAAGGGGTATGGCATTTTCATGAGTCGATCGCGTTCGATCGGTCCTTTATGGTTCAGAAGCGGGAAGCGATATTCATTAATCGATGGAGAAGATGAGGAAGAATTAATATATTTTACTTTGAAATTCTCGTCGCACTGTGTAATTCGTTTAGTTTAGTTTAGTGTCAAGTATTAGGTTGGCAATTGAATTCGTGCAGTTGCAGTGTGCAACAAATTTCTCTGTTCGATAGTGTGGCGATTATCAATTTATTTTGTCTGGATATTAATCGTTGATCCTTTTCTTTGTTTTAACGAGTACACTTTCATGTTCCTGAAGTTTGACCGCAACTCTTTTTCTTATTTTTTTCAACATCCTGTACACAGAGAATCGGGAGAGCTCGTTCGAGCGTCGTATGAAACCGAGTGAAAGTAATTATGAGAGTAATTAGGATTATCAGATGCATATATAAGATGAAGTAAATGTAGAAAGTTTTGATTAAATTGATAGTTGACGATAGTGAAATCTTTTAATTCCAATCCAACCCTATCGATACCATGAAACTTGTAAATTTTTAACAATTTCACGAAACAATTGTTACCGTAAGGCGGTTTAACCTCGACGAAATCGCGGTTCAAATCGAAGAGAAAGCGAACGGTTCCGCTTGTTAAAGCGTCGACGACTAATCTTTCAATTAATACGCTCGGTCGGTTGGTCCTTTCTTATGAAACGGCAATAAAATTTTAACTTTCTCGTTGGCAAACCGTCGTTCCGAGCCGCGGTTCCAGTTTAGTGTTTCGCGAAATTGGCTCGAGAGAAAATTGCACTGCGTATGGTTTCTTTTTTTTTTTTTTTTTTTCTCGTTCGACTCGACAAGAAATTATTGGACCGTTCGTCGGGTCTCTGTCATCGAGAGACGGCTTAACGCAAGTTTTCAATGTCCTTACGTAATTTCCACCGTGTATTGGCCAACAACGCGTCATGGAAATGTCAGCGAACCGCCCACAAATGGAATGGTCGCGTGTAGGACACGTATTCAGCCACGGGATCACATCTTTCCTTCGTCGAGTATGTTGAACGCGAGGCAATGTAAAAATTTGCACAGCCTTTGTCCACGGGGATAATCGATGCTCGTCGATCATCCTCGTTAACGATGGATATGATCGAAAAAACGCCTTAACCGCGCTGTAAATGGACGCAAGCGTTCTCGTTTAATAATCAGGTTCTTTAATTTCAGTCTGAATTCCCCTTCGCAATTATTGACATTTTGACCGTTGCTGTCGCATTATTATTTTTCACGATCCTTGTACGTTCTTAAAACGTCGAAATCCAAGCTCGAGAACATAAATTTGGCAAAAAGGTGCGCGATTTCCAGGTGACTCCCAGCTGGCTGAACGAGACAGGATGAAAAAAAAAAGAAAGAATTGGTCCTTTCACTCGTGAGTCAGGACGAAAAATATGTTAATTAGACGAGACGCGTTCGCTGGGAGTTCATTATTCAGCATTACTATATATAGACAGCTAGAGACACATCGGCTCACATATTTCCCGCGTCTACTCGATATTTGGCGATGCCGATGCCGCGACCTGTTCCACGTGGGCGTACCAACCATATATGCCGGCCGGAAGGTTCTTGAACGCATCCAACGCGTTTAGAGCTTTCCATCCTCGCTATTTCGCTTTTATATCTCTGAAAACCATCAGTTTACCCGATCCCAGTTTTCGTATCGAGCTTCTTCAATCTCGCGTTATGGCTGTTCGAACGCAAACGCGTGGAAGATTTAATTTTAAAATAAGGTAGATTCGATATTACGTTGATCGATTATAGCCACGTCTGTTTCTTCAGTACCAATCGACGCCTTAAAAGCATATCGTGCTTGAAAGTTTGAAAGAATGATTTATTTTCCCGACGAAAGATCGATGTCGAGAAGAAAGATTGATGTTAGGTCGGACGTTGGTAGTAAACATTGGTGCGACGATGAGACGTGCAATTAAAAACTTTTCCCAATTACAAGGTAGAATCACACTTCGACCTTGTCCCGCTTCGCACGTAATTACCAGTGCGTCACGGCTGCGCGAAACGATGACGCATTTTTCCTCGTCTGCTTCTGTGCTTTTCATTTAATGCCATTTTTTTCTTTTTTTTTTTTTTTTTAAGACCCTCTATCGCTAGCTGTTACAATGACTCGAGATTGAATTGAGATACGTCAAACGCCGCCCTCGGCGACTGACATTTGCAAAGATGATCCAAACCTTTCACCATTTTGCAATTAGTACCTATCGAATGTTGCTCAATCTTGTTTCACCATTGAAGTATATCGAAAAACGAACGATTAAAGATGTGTTCTTCTTTGTTTCTTCGCAGGGTGTCCTGATCACGGATGTAGAAGAGGGTCAGCCTTGTTTGCAGTGCGGGGAAACGTGTTCAGGATTTTCGCCCCACACATGGAGGTAAGTTACACGAGTGTTTTAACGATACAGGTAGAAAATAAGCAATTTTGAAAGTAGACGGGAAGAAAAGTTGCTGGCAACGTTAATTCCGTTGATTCGCAAAATTGAAGGCGCACGCAAATTTCTACTCGTTACATGCTCCAAGTATTTCCACTTCCGTCGAGATAAGAGCCCAGGAAATTGGCTTCCGTAAAATACGAGAACGATTAAGAATCAAGTTCGTAACGGTGACATACTTAAGTGTCAAACTCTTCGATTTTCCCACGTCCGTTAATCAGCTTCGAATGATCGATGAACCTTATCGTTTCTCAATTAGCTATTGCCCGTCTAATGCGTTCCATCGATCGATCGCTTCCTTTAATCGGCATATCGGGTTACTATCCTGCAATAATTATCCTCTTCCATTAACTCGAAGGACAGGATACGCGTAATCCTTTAGCCTGTTGATTATCGACCGGGCGAAAGTTGCTTCTCCTTAATTTCTTAACTAGAGACGACGACGAGTTATAAAACTTTGAACAATGAAAATTTCTAACGGTTCGAGGAGAGAATAAACATTCGTGTCTGGAGACAAAGGAGGCGAGAATCGAGTGGAAAATATACGTGGCTAATCGACGGTACGAAATCGTGCTGGAACCGTTGTTGCACGCCGTGTCCATTATCCGAGGCGTAACTGAGCAGCGGTGAAATTACCGGTAGCCAATTATCCTCGGTGACTTACGAGCCAGTAATGCTGTAACGACGAATTAATTGATCGGTCTACCCGGTGTTCCATACAGCCTCATCCTGACAATGACGCGTGGGACAGGATTTTTCAATTTGAAAATTCTCCGTTACTTTTATCTATGCGCTGACGTAAAGGAGATGAAAGGAATTAATTATTATTTCTTCGGTTCGGTTCACCGGCTTGCCGTCGTTTCTCTTCACCCGTTGAATCAGGCTCGTTAGGTTAGAAATACAAGGCCGCTTACAATTATTCCGGAGCCAGTAGGTAGCTCGTTTTAAAAATAAATCGTTGACATGTGACTAGCTGAGATGAAACGAGACAAGGTGGTTGTTCAACCCGTTCGGTGGTAAATTTAGATAATTAATTTAAGATAGTTTCATAATTGTAAACACATACTTTGAACGTTGCATTTCAGTCGTAACTAACGTTCTGTTTCGCCCACGTAAGTATCAACGGAGGTTGGTAATTTACGCAATAAAACCGAACGTGTTCACGTTCGAAGCCGATCGACGCGTATTTTCGACTGTCATTGATCTCGTCAACAAACGAACATAAACTTTTGATTTACGAGGGCGAACGCCACTCGATACGAAATATGACTTGGACCGATTAGCCAATAAGCAAACTGGTAATCTAGTCGTTTAGCTATTTATCTCCGTTCGAAACTGCGCCACGTGTTCGGGTATTTATAGGCATCTCAGTTGCCAAATAGTGACGGAAGTGGACCGATCGGAGGTATCCTCGTGACTACGCTTTCCGGCCAAGCTGGAGCCGCGTATCCTCGTTAAATTACGCTGACTTTGAGCGTTTTACGAGGGTATCGCGTTTTCGACGAGCACGTGGCTCTAATGCACCTTAACTGCGTCCTAAACATCCCTACTTAACGCGCAATATGGTGCAGTTGCTTATGCTATCGGTTGCATCGAAGAAAGCCGAAGACTGAGGAGTCGTTTGGCAAAGAGCTTGGCGTAGAACCGGTAGCCGTGGCTCCCTGGGACGATCGGGCAGGCGATCGCTCGAAACTCGAGTCACGCAGGCTGCCGACACACCGACGCCGATCCGCTTGTGCGTCCTCGCAACCCATTCGTGAGTCATTCCCTCGCGAGCTGGCACTCGCTTGCATCGCGTACACGCTCAGCTCCGTTCCTATACCTTCTGGCGACTCGAAACACACGCCACCGCGTGCACGTGCTTCACGCAATATGCGCCAGTACAGGGCTGGCGAGCACCGCGCTAGTTTCTTCCTCGACTTTTCTCACCCGCGCTCGACGGTATCCGCCTCGCGTATTCTTGGCACCTGTCTCCACCACCGAACCACATTCGTCATCAGTTCTTCCAAGCTCGTGTCCAGGCAACGCCGCGTGTCGACTCGTTAGATTTCGGGCAAAGTTTCTCGGCCTGTCACGATGAAAACTCGTCGCCGTTCAAGTGTATCGCACGATTAGAAGTTCGTTTCGTATCTGCCGGAGATTGGTGCGTGTTCTACCTGTTGCGCCACCCGTGTAACTGCAAGTGTGCGAGAAACCGTGCTGATTTAATTAGGGCCTCGTTTCATTCCATTACCTGTGCTGTGGTAATTCGATTTTCAGGGTGGTTTCACGAATAGGGGTATCATTTATGACAGTAGAAACGTCAATGCCTGGTCAGCCATTGTATTAAGTATAAATTAATTTAACCGAGTGTCACTTAGGGTAAGAGTAATCTTCATGGGTTACCATGAAACGTTCACTCTGAACTAAAGAATTTCTCTCGAAACAAATCTATATTTAAATCTCGAATTTGTTTTTTACACGTGCGTAGGTATCTTTTATTTCCATGCCCGCATTCCTTTCAAATGCAAATTCGGGTATTTTTCTTTTTCAAATCGGAAGCAGTTTCCGGGAAAAGTTAGTAGAAACATCTTTTCTTAGAATCACGTTCAAGTATTTCCTAGACCCTGGCGGAAGAAACTCTCGTAAAAATCGAGCGTAGTTTTATGGACAATTGATATTGTATATATCGATTCTCAGTTAAAAAAAATTAAATGGTAACGATCGAACGTATTTCTGCAACCATTCGTGACACCCGAACGATGAAATTTTTCATTCTCAGACCTTGGATTAAAATAAAAAGAGCGAAGTCACAGTTAAAAAATTTTACAACGAGCTCACTAATGATATGTCGTTTATTTTGATGGAAAACTAGTTCACGGAGCTACTGGTTTCGATCGATTTAGATTGGAGCGAAAGGGCACCTGTTGCTTTGCTCTGCTCTGTTGCGCCTGATATCAAACAAGTTGCTCGGAATTCTGTTTTATAAGACTCGAGAATTCTCGATACGTCTCTAGAAATCTACCCCGAGCAACGATTAATTCTCTCAGTCTCTTCGGAGAAAACGTTCCATCGTTCATTCTTAATTATCCTGTCAACGCGCTAATTGCCACAGTAGAAACTGTCGTGTCTAGTACGACACGCTATAATATGAATTATTCGGGACACGAGTAGTCAATTTTTCAAGCAATCACACGTGAAATAGTTCTATAAATCTTTTGATTTATTAAGAGTAACACGTTATTACTCATTGCCTTGTTTCTTAAACTTCGAGAACCAAGGAACGAACGAACCTACTTTCAACTCTTTATTGTCGAGTCATACTGTTGTTTTGCATAGCAGCGTGCTGTTAAGTCATCGTCGTGTTTTCATTCCGTGCGAGGAATAAATACGAGGTTGACAAGCAAATTTCGCGACATTTCCTCGGACGTAGTTCGGCTCGGAACCATATCGCGATACACCCTGTGCAGTAAATATTTTCTTTCTTCGGGCAAAGATGACAGACCCTTCGGCGATGGTGTTGCAACCCGGCGTCGTTTCGACGCGTCTATTTTTACGTAATATTTCGAATTATCCACGGCGCGGACAAGCGAAATCTGCCTACAGAAACGACCTGGCTAGGTATGCAGGTCTAGTTATTTTGAGCGGGAAAACAGCGGGGAAACGATTAAAATCCCCCGTTAAATTCACTCGGTCTACCAGTTTTATTCGTCTCGCGTACAGACGATCTCTGTCCAGTCGAACGAGTTAAAAGTTTGCGGTCCGGTTTTGTACGCGGTTTAGACAAAAGTGTCACGAGGACATAAGCGGGTCGAATTTCGTAACGGGATGAAGTATTATCGGGTAGGGTACTATCGAATGACCGTGTGTACATGCTCCCTGTTTCGTGGGTCTATTTTAAATCAGGCCCACCTATCGCGTTTTCAAACGCAGTAAACGCTGATTTACAGCTACCTCGGCTTCCGAAAACACGATAAAAGCCTATTTTCGCTCGGCCGATGCCGACATCGGCCCTGGCCTTTTCAATGAAACACACGGTTAAGTACCCCAAGGGACCCTCGTGAACGTTGACACCGTAAAAATCAGTATAGAATCGCACCGAGAACCTTGAGAATCGTTCGATTTCACGCTCGCCTATTATTACGATCCCGTCGAACGATTCTCGGTCGATAATTACCAGGACGATTATTAGGCGCGACGAACCGCAGGTGCTCGAACGCGTGTGGGTCTGACACGTCGGTCACCCACGCGTCCTGCAGTGAGATCACCTTTATACTTTGACTTTCTTAGTCACGAGTGCTGTTCGGTGTCGTCTCGCGTGCGAAAGCAACGTCTTTTGTCTGTTTGGTCAGCCGCAGAAGCGATTGGAAAAGCTTAACGGCCAAAAACGATCTTTTACGACCGACCTCGCTGACATCATCGCTCCAAGTTACCAAAGTTGTAACCGTCGGTCAGGATGCGTCTTTTCCGGATATGCTACATAGATAGCTTTATGAAATCGTCCTTGTCCGTACATCGTCGGATGAAGCGTAAATTGATTAATCACTCCGGTAATTATGAGAGCCGTACCATGTTTCATTTGGTGTTTCGCGAACAGGGCAAACTGGAGCGAAGTATTTGTTAAACAATTTTCTATGTTTGGAATATCAACGAGCGGACACGTGATTCTAGATTTTATTTCACGACGGCTCGTTACGTACCTCGTTTCCACTGTGACTTGCTCGTTAGAAAGCGTTCGGGACGCGTGTAATTCGAAGTATAATTTCAGCGAAAGGGTAGCCAGTGACATTTCTGGCAAATATCGTGCTATAGGTGTCACGCTAGGCTACTAGAAAATCATTTAGCGAACCAGTTATAAGACGTTCGACAAACAAACCAGAACGCGAAAGACCTTCTTCAAGGATCGTTCGACCTTTCCGTCGAAAGCAACGTTTCCTGACTTTTCCGTCTTGTTTTTCTACCAG